GGCCAGCTTGCACGGCTCCTGCTTCCCCTCCTCCTGTGAATGGACTGGTCAGTGTGAGCAGGGGTTAGTGTGGGGACGCCTGCTGCTGGGCCTGCTTGCACGGCTCCTGCTTCCCCTGGATGTGGTGTCCGGAGCCGGACCCCCGTCACGGATGGCCATGCTTTGTTTTTGTTTTGTTTTGTTTTGAGACAGGGTCTCACTTTGTCACCCAGGCTGAAGTGCTGTGGCAGAATCTCAGCTCACTGCAGCCTCTGCCTCCCCGGCTCAAGCGATCCTCCCACCTTAGCCTCTTGAGTAGCTAGAAGTACAGGTGCCCACCACCACACCCAGGCAGTTTTTTCTGTATTTTTTTTCTCAAGACGGAGTGTTGCTCTTGTTGCCCAGGCTGGAGCGCAGTGGCGTAATCTCAGCTCACTGCAACCTCCGCCTCCCAGGTTCAAGCAATTCTCCTGATGCGGCCTCCTGAGTAGCTGGGATTACGGGCACACCCTGCCACGCCTAGCTAATTTTTTAGTTTTTGTAGAGACAGGGTTTTACCATGTTGTCCAGCCTGGTCTTAAACTCCTGAGCTCAAATGATCTGCCCGCTTTGGCCTCCCAAAATGTTGGGATTGCAGGTATGAGCCACCGCACCCGGCCTCATTGTTTTCAAATAGAGACAGGGTCTTGCTATGTTGTCCAGGCTGGCCTTGAACTCCTGGGCTCCAGTGATCCTCCCGAGTTGGCCTCCTAAAATGCTGAGGTTATAGGCATGAGCCACTGCACCCAGCTATAGATAGTTTTAGTGGGCGCTAAGGACGAGCTGGCTGTGCACCTTGGGGGAGTTGCTGGTGTCACTGTGCCTCAGATTCTCTCTTCTGCAGTGGGAGTAGGAGCTCTGGCCTCATGGCATGTGGTGTGAGCTATGTCCAGTCTCGCCTTCTTTGTGAGGCCTGATCCAGCCGCCTACACACTTCATTGACTGCGGCCCCTGAGTGTGCACCAAGGCCTTCTGCCTTGACCCAGCCGTGGCCTGATATTGCATGTCTCAGGGCCCCAGCAAGGCTCAGTGAGGGTGTGATCCCATGAGCTGTCTTCCCGCTCAGCCAGGCCAGCCCCTCCACTGCCCACCCTTTCACCCATGTGCTTCTGCTCAAGTGACTCCACCACAGGCCCTGTCCCACGCACAAATACACCACGGACAAGTGAGGGCACACTAATTTTATTTTGAAATAGGGACTGCAAGGGTGGGCTGTGTTGAGAAGGATGGCCTCCTGGTGTGATGAGCCTGGGGCCTCATCTGCTCACCAGACACACCCTGGACTCCTGCTACATAGCATGTCCAAACCAAGGGCACCCACCTGGGAAGGGTTCCAGAGAGGGGGAGCTTCTCTGCACCCCAGACAGACAGGAGAGGAGGCTGGGGTATGGGAGCACTCTGGGGAGAACCTGCCCTAGCTTTCCAGCTGTGAGGAAGGGATGATCTGGGGTCCAGCAGGCTCCTGGGTTGGGGCCACCTCCCCTTCTCCCTAGGAGCAGAGACTCGCCAACCCTTTCTGTCAGGACTGAGAGGGGGCCAGTGTCTTGGGATGCTAACCACTGAGCGGGCGTCCTGGAAGGAGGTGGTGGGCTACTGCTGACTGGTATTAATATGTAGGGGGACCTGAGGTCGCAGCCCCACCCCGGTGTCCAGGTGCCATCTGGGCTAGTGAGGGGTCTCAACAGGAATCCCGAGCAGGGTTCGGAGCACAGCAGGCAGCGGTGGGGGGGACCTGGGACCCTCATCTAGATGATGCCATATTGGGCCAGCTCGTGGAGCTCCAGGTGGTTGAAGGCCTCCCAAGGGCAGATGACCGTGATGTCTGAGGGAGAAAGGGGCCCTGGATCAGGGAGGATCCCATCCCCCTGGGCCCCCATCCCCTGTGGCCGTTTCCCACAGCACAGGTGTAGCCCTGCATGTGCTGAGCGGGGACGTGTGGACCCGGCTGGGGCCCTCCTCCCGGGACACACTGGCTGTGGGGGAAGGAGGGTGGGGCTTGCTGAAGGGGGAGGAGTCAGCAAAGGGCTCTGTTCCTTCCCAGATCCCTCCCCTCACCTGGTCCCAAATGGGAACAGTCCCACCCAGTGGATCTGCAGCTCAGTGTTGGGGGAAGAAGTGAAGGACAGGCTGGGGTCCCTAAGTGAAAAGCAGGGCAGGTGGGGGCCGAGGTGGGCTGCAATGGGCCCAGGTGTGCTGGGTGTGCCTCGGGGGACCCAGCAGACCTCGGCTTGGCACTGGTGGCATCGTACCTGTTCCCAGGCCTTCCATTCCAGGGATGTCGTCCCCAAACCTGCAAGGACAGAGCAGTCAGGGACATGGCCGGGCCCAGCCCTGGCTCAGTCTGGCCGAGGCCCGAGGTCATCTCTACCCCTCCTAGAGATGAGGCATTTGGCTGGGAGTCCAGTGGGCAGAGACCCGCCTCCTCCCCAACCTCCCGAGGCTTGGTGGGGCTGAGGGGCTTCCTCCACAGAGCCAGGGTGTCTGCTACCCGGAGCCTCACAGGGCTGAGGCCCAGAAAGGAGGAGCAAACCCTGGGGTGCGGGGCAGGTGCACGCCTTGGTGGAGCACGGAGCGGGGTGTGGTGGGTGCCTGGTCTGAGTGTGGATTTGTGAGGGTGGCTTGTCTGTGAGTGCGCCCCTTGAGTGCATGTGCAGGTGGCTGTATTTTCCCAGCAACGTTGGCAGTAGCATCTGGAGCGGGTGACTCCACCCCGCCTACCCCCGCTGTGAGCCTGGGACCACTAAGGCAGGAAAGTGCCCGAGGCCCTGCCGCTCCTGCTCCTTCCTGGAGTCCTGGGGGGCCGCCTCCTCCCTTTCAGAGGCCCTCTCCCCCAACTCTGCTTACCCTTGGACGCCTTTCTTGGGGGGCTTGCTCTTGAACTGCCTGGTTTGTCGCTGCTTAAATTTGGGGGGCCCTTTCCTGGGGGTGACAGGTCCCCCGACCACCCTGGTGGCCGACCGGAACTCAGCCTTGGGCGGCTCCAGGTTCATGGCGAGGCTGACGGAGATGCTGCGGCAACCTTGGCTCCTGGACTCTCCTGCTGCGGTCTGGGGACAGACCAGGCCCGGGTCCCAGTTAGCCCTCTGGCTTCCAACCCCGTGGGGGTCTCAACCCACCGGTAGAGGGGCTGAGCCCCAGCCCCGCCAGCTCCAGCATCACCCAGACAGCCGCCCCTGTGATCCGCTCTGGGCAGCCAGCCTGCCAGCTCTGCTTCGGCCCACCGCACGCTCCCATTCCCCCGCCTGGTGGATGTGCCCTGCAATGCTGGCCACATACAGCTCCGGCCTCTCCCCTGCATCCCGGCCTCCCTCACCCCACCGCACAATCCACAGCAAACCCAGCCCGTGTCCTCAGGCCCTGAGCCTGCAGTCCTCAGACGATCTCCTGCCCCATCCCCCGCATTCCCCACCCCAGGAAAGCATGACCGGAGTGAGCATCCAACTGCTGCTCAGTGGAAAGTCCTCTGGGGCCCCTGCTGGGACTGGGATGAGACCCAAGTGGGCCCCTCCCCCGCTGCCTGGCTCTGCAGATGAGCCCGCCTCTGAGCTGCCCTTCCTGATGGTCAGTGGGCTGCCCATCTCATGTCCCCACTCAGGGAAGCCTCCCCTGGACCCCGCCCAGCAGTCACTGCGTCCTCAGGTTCTGATCGTTAGCCCTCATTCCAGGCTGGTGAGTGTTGCCCAGGGCTGTTGCCCTCTGACTTTTTTTTTTTTTTTTTTTTGGAGATAGAGTCTTACCCTGTTGCCCAGGCTGGAATGCAGTGGTGCAATCTTGGCTCACTGCAACCTCCGCCTCCTGGATTCAAGCAGTTCTCCTGCCTCAGCCTCGGAGTAGCTGGGATTACAGGCATGTGCCACCAAGCCCAGCTAATTTTTTTTTATTTTTAGTAGAAACAGGGTTTCACCATGTTGACCGGACTGGTCTCGAACTCCTGACCTTGTTGTAATCCTCCCACCTCAGCCTCCCAAAATGCTGGGATTACAGGTGTGAGCCACCGTGCCCGGCCCTTGCCCTCTGATTCTTGCTGATGCGTTTATTGCTTTCTGCCTGTCTGTGCTTTGCAGTTGGGGTGCTGTCAGTTACTTTCACCCACTCACGGAGATATCCCTGAGCCCATCAGCACCATGAGGGGCACCCCGAAGTGCTGACAGAGAATGACCCACAAAACAGGAGGCAGGGTTCCCAGGCAGGGTGCCCCTGGAAAAGGGGCCTGTCTCAGGTAAGTGGTTCTGAGCTGTGAAGCCCTGCTTCCCCCCAGGCCCACTTCATAGAGGGGACAAGCTGAGGCTCCAGGAGGGTGGGCGCTAGGTGTGGGTCTCCCCTGCTGGGGGAATCCCCAGGCTCTCTCTGTTCCTGGAGCCAGCTCAGGGAGCAGGGTCACTCGCCTGGCATGGCGTGGCTGAGTGGCCTCAGCTGCTCCGGACGAGGCCAGTGTCCTTGCACCACTGCACAGGGTGACCTCTCTTCCTCCTTTCCCTAGGGCCTCTCCCCAGATGCCCTAAGCCCCAGTGACCTGGGCCAAGGGCAGCTGAGCTTCCCCTAAGCCTATTAACAGCAGAGGGGTATTCCTAATCTCCCAGCGAGCTGCTGCCAGCAGCACATGTGCCGGAAGATTCTGGAAGGAGGCACATGACACACACAGGGGGGGCTTGTCCACACTGGATGCCCCAGGGACCACTTCTTCACGTCCCCTTTCCTGCCCCTGGTCTTGTGGGCTGGGATTCCTGACTCTGGCCCTGGGCTGCCACCAGCTGTTAGCTGAGCATCAGGCATGGGAGTGACCAGAAAGCAAGGGCAGATGCCCCTTCTAGGGAGGAGGACTCTGCAGGGGGTGCTGGGCACCTGGGATTGGGGTGGACCCTGCCCTGGCACCCTCCCTTCCTAAGGCTCAGCTTCTGTCCCTGGGACCAGCACCAGCCTGTGCAAAACCAGGACTCAGGAGCCTGGTGGTCCCAGCTGCTCAGATTCCATGGTACCCAACCCTCGTGTCCCACACAGCACAGGCCTGGCTAACTGCTACCCCAGCCCCGGAACATGGGCTGTCCTGAGCAGCTCTGGGCCCTGAGGGAGCTCCAGCCATCAGATGCCGTCCACGTGGAAACCGCTGCCTGCGCTGCCCTGGCCTGACCCAGCCTGTGACTGGCGTCCACTCAGTCAGCTGAGCCCATGTGGCCTGAGGTTCCCAGAGCATCGCTGGCCTGGGGATGGTGGCAGCACTGGGTACCATGGGGGAGCAGAGGACATGGTTGGCTGCGTCCTTTCTGAATAATGGGGTGGCAGGTACGCTCTGCAGACCCGGACCTCAGGCACGGCAGTAAAAGCCTGTCGGCTCCCCGGCCCCGGACAATGAATGTGCTGACCCACGCTAACTCACTGGGGAAGTGGCTGCCAGGAAAGACAGCGGGGTTCGTCATGACTCACCAAGTGCAGGGCGGGTCTCAGAGGGCCACGGTGTGAGTGCTGGGCCTTCCTCCGCAGCACGCCAGCCCGGGCATTTATCTTGCTGCTCCGTGAGCTGATTAGGTGTCTCAGTGCCACGCTAATGAGATTGTTGGTCCCCGAGGGAGGGCACCACTACCAAAGGTTCTGGGGAGGGGGAGGAGGGGCTCAGGTGCCATCAAGGGCCCCAAGGAAGGACGCCAGGCAGATGGGGCTGGGACAGGGAGAGAAGTGTGACCTGGAACAGCCAGGCTCCCGCAGCCGCCCATCTTCCAAACAGAAGCAAAAGCAGTGGCTGCTGTCTTGGGCAGCCCGCCGCCTTTCCTGACCCCGCCTGACATCAGGAGAGCCCACCTTTGTGGCCTCCTAAGCCCAGTGCAGCCTGGCCTTCACCCGCCGCTTTGGCCTCGAATCTTACCACTCTCACCCCAGAGCCTCCGCACCTGCTGCTCCTGAAATCAAACAGGAACCCCTCTTACAGGCCTGTGGGACCCCCAAGCATGGAAACAAGGACAATGTTGAGTTCTTTCAAGGGCAATCCAGGCACCCAGCCAGCCCTGAGGAGTAAGTGAGCAGCCGATCTGCAGCAAGGTCACAGGGGTTTAGAACAACAGCCGGAAGCCAGAGTCCTAAGGGTCTCCACAGAAGTGAACCACGCCATCTGAGCAGGTACCCTGAGTTGTTTTTCAGAAACTGGGACCCCCACCAAAGGGGTGCACTGGCAAACAGATCTCAGATGAGCTGGAGCTGAGGACTGACTTCTGATCACCCTTCTCTTACGTAGGTTTCTTCCTGGGGGCCCTGGAGGAGGCCACGCCCACAACCCCAAGCTAGCATCCTTTACTGTGTATCCCAAAGTTTTAGAAAGCTTTGCTTCCGTAACCAATGCCAAATCAGAAAACCTTCAAATCCACCTACGACCCGTGGGCCCCGGCATCAAGGTCTCCTTGGTGTTTATGCCAAAACCAATGTACAGTCTCTATGTACTGAGTTATGACTTTGCCTGTGACCTCTGCCTCTCCACCTTTAAAAACCCATAACTGGGCTGGGCGTGGTGGCTCACGTCTGTAATTCCAGAATGTTGGGAGGCCAAGGCAGGCGGATGAGGAGCTCAGAAGTTCAAGATCATCCTGGCCAAGATGGTGAAACCTCATCTCTACTAAAAATACAAAAATTAGCCAGGCATGGTGGCTGGGACCTGTAATCCCAGCTACCCAGGAGGTTGAGGCAGGAGAATCGTTTGAACCCGAGAGGTGGAGGCTGCAGAACTAAGCAGTCCATGGACTCGCTTTGGGGATCCTGGAAGCCAAAAAGATGGACCTGGGTCTTTGGGTGACTTGGTGGGGAGTGGCATCCTATGCGCACAGGATGTGGAATCTGATGTCAGGGATTCTTGCTGAGAAAAGGGCATCGGCAAGGCCAGCCAGCAGAGGGGAATTCATTCACTGGCTCAGGGTGTCAGATAATATAATCGCCTTAGATGACATCTTAGCTGAGCAGGGAGGAATGTATATTCTTGCAGATCCCACATTCTGTACTTATACAAATGAATCTGCAGAAATTAAAATCTCATCGAGGTGAAATTAGAGAACAGGTCACTTGGTTATGACAGGTTTCCCTGACTGTCACTGAGGACTGTTTTTCTTCCTTGTTTTCTTACATTTCTTATGGAATCATCCATCTTTTCAAGATTGCTAAAGTTAGGCATGTCAACCTTGTTACTTTTTTTTTTTTTTTGAGATGGAGTCTCGCTCTGTCCTCCAGGGTGGAGTGTAGTGGCTCGATCTCAGCTCACTGCAACCTGCCTCCCAGGTTCAAGCAATTTCTCCTGCCTCAGCCTCCCGAGTATCTGGTACTATAGGTGTGTGCCTCCATGTCCCACTAACTTTTTTTTTTTTTTTTTTTTGAGACAGAGTCTCACCGTCACCCAGGCTGGAGTACAGCAGTGCGATCTTAGCTCACTGCAACCTCCACCTCCTGGTTCAAGCAATTCTCCTGCCTCAGCCTCCCTAGTAGCTGGGATTATAGGCATGCACCACCACACATGGCTAATTCTGTATTTTTAGTAGAGATGGGGTTTCACCATGTTGGCCAGGCTGGTTGAACTCCTCACCTCAGGTGATCCACCTTCCTCAGCCTCCCAAAGTGCTGGGATTAC